CTCTGTAAATGTTTATGAAAATTAATAAAATATAATTATAGGGAAAAAAAGAAAAAAATAAATAAATACTTCTCCTAACTAGAGTATATGTTCAAGGAAAACAAGGAGTTCATATATCCTGCTCCCCATGACATTTCCACACCCAAACCTGATTGGTACATGAAAGTTTAATAAACATTTGCTAAATAAGCGAACAATCAAATAAGCTAGATTAACTAAAATTCACTAATGCAAAGGAATGTTAAGTTAGCATTTTCAAAAAGAGTAAAAGTTTGGAGATACAAAAGAGAAAAAAATCCACAGAAATGATGGAAAGCAAAAGAAGGCAGGCAGTAATGAATACTTAAGAGGCAACAAGGAAATCTCTCTGCTTGGGGAAAACGGGGAATTTCTCCATAAAAAAAGTCTTTCTTAACGTCTCCCAGAATAGTTTTCTAATGGCATCCACCACGGACAGGAAACTATTAAACATTAAAAACTGGAAGGAGCTGTTAAGAATAAAATGCATGTCGAATTCTGAATCTTAAATCCTTAGTACAAAAAAGGTTAAAATATATCAGTAATTTTCATATTGAGTACATATAGAAAGTATTAACATTCGGGATATACTGAGTTCAGTAAGCACTACTCATTTCCACAAGAACCTGTACTAAGAATATTTATACAAACATCATTCATAACAATCAAAATTGGAAACAATCCAGTATGATTATGATGACTGCATACAAAAAACATAAAAAGAACTGAACATGTGATCAATACAACATGGAGAAAATATTATACTGACTGAAAGAAGTCAGACACAAAAGGTCACATACTGTGACCCACTTTTGTAGATCAAAAATATAATCCCATTTATGGACAGTACTGATCTGGAGGATTTCTTTGATTAGACAAAAATGGCCAATCTCCCTTGAAACCAGAATGTGACATAGACCCCTTCAATCAGACATGCAACTTCAATGTAAAATCAAGCAATCTAAAAAATAAAAAATGGTTCCATTCTCCTTGGAGTACTGATTTCAGTAGTTTCCCAGTGACTTCAGGTCCACTTCCTGAATCAAAAGTAGCATTAGTGTAAGCAGGAGTTGTTGTTA